CTTCAGTTGGTGGACAGATGGTCGTACGTTTTCCTGCAAAATGTCTTGATAAACTCTGGAATTCATTTTCCCATCAATGACAACAATCCGTCCAGGCCCTGAGGCAGCAAAGCAGCCCCAAACCATGATGCTCCCTCTGCCATGTTTTACAGTGGGGATGAGGTTTTGATGTTGGTGTGCTGGGCCTTTTTTTCTCCACACATAGTGTTGTGTGTTCTTCCCAAACAACTCAATCTTGGTTTCATCTGTCCACAGTATATTTTGCCAGTAGTGCTGTGGAACATCCAGGTGCTCTTTTGCAAACTTCAAACGTGCTACAATATTCTTTTTGGACAGCAATGGCTTCCTCCGTGGTGTCCTCCCATGTACTCCATTCTTGTTTAATGTTTTCCTTATTGTAGATGTGTCAACAAAAATGTTAGCATGTGCCAGAGATTTCTGTAGGTCTTTAGCTGACACTCTGGTATTCTTCTTTACCTCATGCAGCATTCTGCGCTGTGCTCTTGCAGTCATTTTTACAGGACGACCACGCCTAGGGAGAGTAGCAACAGTGCTAAACTTTCTCCATTTGTAGACAGTCTGTCTTACCGTGGACACATGAACATCAAGGCTTTTGGAGATACTTTTGTAACCCTTTCCAGCTTCATGCAAGTCAACAATTCTTGATCATAGGTCTTCTGAGAGCTCTTTTCTGCGAGGCATGGTTCACATCAGAGAGTGCTTCTTGAAACCAGTAAACCCAAAACAGGTGTGTGTTTTTTAAGGGCAGGACAGCTGTCAGCAACACATCCAATATCATCACACTGATTGGAGTCAAGGTTGGCTCACTCCTGGCTCCAATTAGCTCTGGGAGAAGTCATTAAGCTAGGGCCTCACATACTTTTTCCTCCCTGCACTGTGAATGTTTACATGTTATGTGCAATTAAACCATGGCAACATCTAATGTTTGTGTAGTATTATGTTCAGCAGACTGTGTTCTTCTATTGTTGTGACTTAGATGACGTTCAGAGCACATTTTATGCCCAATTCATGCAAAACTCCACGTAATCCCAAGGGGTTCACATACTTTTTCTTGCAACTGTATATCAGATTTTACCTCCCAAAGTACTGGAGAAAATGTTAAAATCAAGAATTGTATTACCTGTAGAACGGCATTCGTCACGTATATTTTAGAATGTTCGTGTCACCTACAATATGTAGGTAAGACATCTAGACCCCTCTATAAAAGACTTAGAGAGCATGTTATAAATATAAGGAAAGGTAAAAAGGACCATTGTCTGTCCAGACATTTTAGGGATGTACATAATTGTAATCCGGGAGCCCTGAAATTCTGTGGCATTGATTCTGTAGAAGCTCATTGGAGGGGGGGGGGGGGGTGAAATTAAGCTACTGTCACAAAATGAAACATTCTGGATATTTCAGTTACGGACACTTAAACCTAGAGGATTAAATGTTGAATTAGATCTGAATTGTTTTATTTCTAATTTTTAAAATAACTTCTTAAAATAATTCAAAATATTTTAATAAGAATTTTTTTTTTATTTTTTTTTAATTAATCTCTAGAAATGTGGGGATGGGTTTATATAGGTGTAGGGATGTATGTTCACACATGCAGATTTAAATATTTATAGGCATTTGTGGAATTAATAACGTATAGTGGAAGATATGGGCCCTAGTAGATTAGTTATATTTATTAGTAATATTGATGTAATTTTTTTTTTTATAAGAATAATACATCTAGGTATACTGTGCTATTTGTCTAGGTTCGTACAAATAATTTTATTAATAATTTTATTATAAGTTTTTATTTTTTATATTATTTTTTTTATTTTTGTTTTATTTTATTTTAATCTTATTTTATTTTTAATGTGCATATGAGTATTGTTGATTCTGATATGTAAGAGGGTTTTAGATACGGCATAGGATTCAATACTATTTATATGTAGGTAGTTGTTATAAAGAATGTGATTTTATTTATTTTATTGGAACTAGTATTAATGAATAGAGAAGCAGAATATAGAACCGAGGATTCGTGCTAAAAAAATTTGCTTTTTTGCTATATGGGACACTTGTCTGGGTGGTGCTGCACTATTGAGAGAAGTATGGGCTAGTTTCCCTTACTCAAGATGGTGATCGGAACTTTGCTAATTGACTAAAGAACCAGTTATAATGGGGAGAGATGTTCCGACGTGTCTATCCCTTAAGATTAAGTCCCGGATGTGATGAAACACGTTATGTAAGCAGATTCATTAAAGTTGTATTTATGGTTTGATACGGAATTACACTATTATTTTCTCATATACATCCTACATGGAACTGAATGACCGGGGAACTGACGTGCGGTACCATGAGGGGATGAGAGTGTAATCATGACGTCAGGAGTGGAGACAAGGAGGCTGAGTGGTGTTTGATGATCTCTTTATATGATATCTCACAGCGTTTTTTTTTCTGATTCTGGTAAGGGTTTATATGCTGTACATATTAGAAGTGAAACACTTTTTGAAGTGGTTTACACAGAGTGGAACACATCACGATTTTGGCACAAGTGTTGCTGTGTTTTTTTCACTCTTTTTCACTTTTTTGCACTAATGCTTGTAAATGCACGCATGGATTGCTATATATGAAATTATTAAGTTAATGCACTATGTTGAGTTTTTTTGATTCTTTTGAGGATTTCTGTGGAAGCGGTCCCTTGAGATTTCAACAATATAAAGAAGTGACTTCAAGTGGGACCTATTTAATTAATTTCACGCTTTGAACTATAAAGCACTGGACACTTATTAATATATTGTGCAGGATTACATGTGTTTGGACATTTATTATTTGGAAGGCATGCATTGATATTTTAGAATAGGTGTTCTTTTCACTAGAGGTGGGGGGGTTGATTCTGTTTTTGATGTATCTGTAACTTTCTAGGGTTGAAAGTTATTTTTTTATATAGAATCACGTAGTGGATTGGGGTGTTTTTGGAGGAGTTTATCGTATATTATATTGGTTTTTTGTTTATTGGACTTCACTTATAAATTTATTTGTTTGATTGATATTTATGTACATCTAAAGCGCAGCCTGTTTTTTGATCCTCTTAAATCAGAGAAGGGTTGATTAATTGGGACTGCTCAGGGCTTCACAAGCTGCGGCTCTGCTACTTCCTCATGTCTTCCAGAGAGTTCTGGAACATAGTGGGAGGGAGCGCAGAGTTTGCAACCTGAATATTTATGGGACTCCAGCCAAACCCTGGGGAGGTGTGTCCAGAAGGTGGGGGAGAGCCCATAAATAGACTGAGACCTGAACAGTAGGGGCAGCAGTGTGTGTCTGTAGGGCAGTGTTCCTGAGTCCAGCTTTGCAGGAGGAGACCCCTGTTGAGGGACCTTGCCCTTTTGAGCAGAAATTGGGGGATGAAGCCAGCCGGAAGACACTGAGGTCCCAGCTAGGCTTAGCTGGGGGACCTATTCGCAAAGCCAGATTGATTGTTCCCCAATAAAACCACAAAAAAGAAACCATTAGATCTTTTGACCCAAAGGAAGTATGCCAAAAATGCTGTGTGATTGGCTGTGTGTGCTCTAAGGGGGAAATAAGCCGAAATTCATGTGCTGCTCTTTAGGGGGTGCACTACTTGATGTTTGGGGGTTCTTAGTAAATTTCTAGTAAACAAATGCTGCCTTAAGCATGTGTGTGAAAAATTTTAAAATTGCCCCAGACAGCAAGTGGGTTGCAAGACTCCATTTTTGGAGAAACGAGCATCAGGTGGAGCTTTCAGTGACATCACCTCATTCCAGCTGGTGGTCTGACACCGCGGGAATTTTAAATGTTTACACTGCCTGTATGCACCTTATCTATGTAAGTGCAATACTTTAATAAATTCTTTGCTGGTTTAAAGGGTCGCACTATGACGTTTTCTTCAGTTTTAAACCTTTCCTTGCATGATGTGGAGAGCTGTCTGATGTGATTGATTCGTTCAAGTGAACCTCCAGTTGTCCATTCATCTCCTATTTATCTCCTTGATACGGCTAACTAGGGTGTCAGAGTGGGATCTGAACACTATCTGCTTGTTTGATCTCTTAACTGGAGATCAAAGTGTCTGGTAAGAGGCTGATTTTTTATTTTGTGTCAAGCATTTGTGGACACCTATGCACTTTCCGTTGGAGGATTTCTATAGCACACAGCACTGTGTTATTGGATTTTGGGACTTTTAATTAATTAATATATGAATGTGAACTTATATTATTTCAATTAATTTATGCACATTTTTTATGTAGCAGTATTTGATTGAATATTGTTTATGATTATTTAGTGTACAGCGTGCTCATTGTTTATATATTTTTATATATTTTAAGCAAGTGGGTTAGGCTAGGGTTACACTTGTGTGTTTACAGTTTCATGTATTTTTATGTTACATAGTTACACAGTTAGTCTGGCTGAAAAAAGACAAAAGTCCATCCAGTTCAACCATAGAAAAAAAAAAATTAAAAAAAAATGTGTGTGCATTTTGATGCTTTTCAAAATGTTTTTCATGCATTTCCATGTTTTCTTTTTTTTTTATCTTTTGTATGATGCTTGAACTTTTTCTTCTCAGTTGAAGTTTTTTTTTTTTGCAGGTGGTACCGGAGATGGTTTTGCTGTTTTGAAGAGCAGAGGTTACCTATTAATTGTGTGTTCTTTTCTACATCCCATTGCTGTGGTGCTTATTGACTTTGCTTGAAAGTGTCATGTGATGTTGGGTCACCTGACTGTGACTTAGTTCTGCACAGCTAATTTCCTTCCCCAGCAGCTGAGTTCAATGCAAGCACAGCATTTTGTATGGATGTAGATGGGTGATCGAGCTGGGCTCTGAGCCAAGAGGAGTACGGTGGGGAGGAACAAGCGGTCAGTGAAAGAGCAGATTTAGAGGCTGGCCATTATAGAGTGAATATAGAGGCTGGCTGTTTATATAGAGAACATTTAGGTCTGTGTGTGAAAGAGGTTTCAAGTTGTGGAAAGTGGAGGACTCTGTCAGTTCCAGGATGGGGGAACGAAGGCGTCTGCAGCACTGGAGAGACCAGATGAGAGAGGAGTTAGACAGAGTCATGGATTTCTGGATTCGGCACTCTGAAGACAAGGAATATGGGTAATTGGACTTTAGTCCCGAAGTCATGATTGTCTTACTAGTTACCTAATGGATATGTTTTTTTTTTTTGTTTGTTTTTTTTTATGTGAAAGATCTCAAAATATAAGTGTTTACTCCAGGCTTTTTTTTTGCTCAAAGAATAGGTGCAGGTAGTATCTCAACCCTGTTGTATCTCTGAGCACCGTCCCTTGTCTGCCCCCTATCCACCTTCTAGTACGGCTCCATTTAGAGAATACAGAGCCAAGTATAATATTGTGGTGTTAAGTAATTTGCATGGAATTTGTTATTAATAATAGACCACCCCAGCTCCTTCCCAGCAACAATAGACCCCCAGGAACAAAATGCACCGTCAACAACAATAGACGCTCCCCCAGGAACAAATTACTTCCCGAGCAACAATTGATCCCCATATGCAACAAAAGACCCCTGCTGACAACAATAGATCCCCCAACAGCCTGCACCAATAGACCCCTTCCTTTAACAGTGGATCCCCCAAACACATAAGAACCTCAGTGGAAAAGATCCCCCACCAGCAACAAAAGACCCCTGCTGGCAACAATGGATACCCCAACAGCCAACATCAATAGACCCCTTCCTTTAACAGTGGATCCCCCAAACAACAAAAGGACCTAAGAGCAAAAGATCCCTCAGCAGCAACAAAAGACTCCTTCTGGCAACGATAGATCCCACAGTATCCAGCATCAACATCAGAACCTCAAAGCAAAAGACTTTCCACCAGCAACAATAGATCCCTGCAACTGTTGACAATCCTACAACCTCCAGATACAAATAGATCCCCATGCAGTCAGCATCAATAGACCCTCAAGCACACCCCAGCTCCCCATACACTCTGTGCTGAAGGTGCCAGAACTGCATTTCCCTGTGTTCCTGCTGATTTACTCTATATATGGTGCATCAAGTTATTTGTCTATAAATGCCACAAAAGGCTTCCTGGTCTCTATAGGACCAGCACAGAACTTACTAAACCCAGGACCCTGCATTCACTATATCTGGTCTAACAGTACACAGTAGACAGAAATGAAATTATTTCAGTAAATATAAACTGCAAAATACCTTTTCTTATCAGCAGTTAGAGCGGTCTTTTGACTTCTGTCAGTGTCCAGCAGAGCACTGGTTAAAGCTTGTAGAAGGAGTTTTCTTTCTGTTCTAGGAGGATGCAGAACCCTTGAGCACTGTCTGAACAGTGCTGATTGGCCCTGTGCTGATCACATGCACTCTCCCAAAAAAAAAAATACTCTCTAGCAACACACCAAACGGAGCATATGCAGTATGCCTCCAAGGCTCTGTTTTATCACCAGATGGATTGGGGACAGTAGAAGAAGGGGAGGATCAGAGAAGACAGAATCAAACAGCCTTTTTTTACACAATGCAGAGTATCAACCCTTTAGGTTCCACAGTGGGATTAACTATATATACAGATTGATTTTACTGTTGGGTTTAGAAACACTAAAGCAATATTTGTACAGAAAGTCTATTTATTCACAGCAATCTTTTTTTTTTTTTTTAAGAAAAGAATAAAAAATGTACATATATTTGCAGGAAAATAAATGTGCATTTATTATTATTTTTCTGGATGAGCCTGCAAAGAATTGCACCAGCGATCAGTGGATCACGGGTACAATGTCAGGCTCCTGCAAAATCTCCCTCCAGCTCCCTGACCGGACCTCCATATGGGCTTTTAGTTAGAAAGCTGTGGGAAGTGTGAAAGGCCAATTGTGCTACTCAGCACACTCGTAGTCCATTGAGAAGTCCAAGCCATCTGTCGCGGGGCCTGTAGTTTCCTCATTCACAGATCTCCCCACACAGCCGCACCAATTTTAAATGTGACGGAGGCTGCGAGAGTGAGGAATCCCCCCATACTGTCACGGGTGAAGGATGCTGGAACATACATGGATGTAACAAATAACGTGTGAACTTATCCTTTGAAGCAGAATTCTAGGAACGATCTTTATTCATGTAGCACCCTCATAGATTAGAGCAGGTTGTTAGGTAAATTTAGTTAGCTCCTCTGTAACCAGTGGAGCAGGGGTTGATTGTTCAGGTTATCTCAATGTCTCACAGCTGCTGCTCTGATTACTTCCCCTGTATCCTAGAGGATTCTAGAGTTATAGTGGAAGGAAGAACAGAGTAAGCAGTCTGAATATTTATGGGACTCCAGTCAATCCCTGTGGGGAGTAGGTGGTTGGACAGCCCAACCAGGACTGAGGCAGAGAGTTCCTGGGTCCAGTCCTGTTGGTGGAGATCCATATGTAAGGGCTCTGTCCCAGGGGTAGGAATATTGAAGGTGCCATCTAGAAGACATCAAGGTCCCAGGTGGAGCCTTAGCTGAGGGCCTATTTGCAAAGCCTAGTCCTGGAAACAAGTTGGATCTGGAGAAGTGCATTGGACAGAGCTAGGAGGAAGTTGGGGGAAGAGTGTCCAGCCGTCCAATGGTGGTGTGAGTCAGCATCTCCCTCACTAAGAAGTGCCTGGTTGATTTTAGACGGAGGCAACCGAGTTAACCGAGTCAAGTTAGTGACTGTGGCTCACTTCTGCATAGAAACCAATCAGCGTCTAACTTTCTGGGGGAGATAGTTTGTGGGAAAAGAATGCTACCGGGTGTAGCAGAAGTTTTAGGCCCTGCCGCTGTGATAGGACTGCTCCCACTGCATTTTCTGATGCATCAACCTCCACCACAAAGGGGAGTGTTGGATATGGATGACTCAGGATGGGTGCTGAGGTGAATAATTCCTTAAGGGAGTCGAAAGCTGTTTGTGCTTCAGTTGTCCAATGGAATCGGATGCCCTGCTTGGTTAACTGGTTAATAGGAGCTATGATGGCTGAGAAGCCCTTGATGAATCTCCTATAGAAATTTGAGAATCCAATGAAACGTTGTATTCCCTTCTTGCCTGCTGGTGGAGGCCACTCCAAGATGGCAGAAACCTTCTGAGGATCCATCCTGAACCCCTCCGTGGAAATGATTAATCCAAGGAATTGGATGCTTTGGCGTTCCAATTCACACTTCTCGGGCTTGGCGTAAAGACCATGAAGTCTTAGGCGGCTGAAGACTCTCTGTACGTGGCGTCGGTGGAATTCAAGGGAAGTGGAGAAAATTAAAATGTCATCAAGGTACACTATAACAAAAATGTCTAGGAAGTCTCTGAAAATGGCATTTACAAAATGCTGGAACGTTGCTGGAGCGTTGCATAGGCCACAGGGCATTACTAGATATTCAAAATGCCCAAATCTGGTGCGAAAGGCAGTCTTCCATTCATCCCCCTCTTGGATACCAGGTTATAAGCTCCCCTTAGATCCAGCTTAGTGAACAGGGTTGCAGATCTCAGCCTCTGAAATAGTTATGGAACCAAGAGTAGGTGGTATCTGTTCTTGATGGTGATATTGTTTAGCTTACGGTAGTCCACACAGGGACAAAGAGAATGATCCTTCTTCTCTACAAAGAAGATGCCAGCTCCCGTCGGGGAGGTAGATGGGCGGATAAACCCCTTTCTCAGGCTGTCATCGAGGTACTCCTTTAGTGCTCCTAATTCCCGCTCTGACAAAGGGAAAATCCGACCGAAGGGAATTCCAGCCCCAGGCAGTAACTCGATTGGGCAGTCGTATGGTCTGTGTGGTGGCAAGGAGTCGGCACCACGTTTACTAAAAACATCCAGGAAACTATGATAGGCCACTGGGACTATTTTGTGTACCTCAGATTCTGTGTCAGTACATAGGAGGGGTCTGAATGGAGCCAAGGGTTGGAGCAGGCAGTGCTCATGACAGTAGGTGGACATCAAATACCCAATTGATGTTAGGGTTATGTTCCTGTAACCAGGGAATTCCGAGGATAACCGGAAATATTGGGGAGGCAATGGCATCTAGACATAATAGTTCCTTGTGGCCCGAGGATGGTATCGTGACCGGTAGGGGAATTGTTTCCTGGGTAACGGCTCCAGATTTGATGTTGGATCCATCAGCCAGGTATATGGTAAATTTCTGCGCTTTAGCTCGTAACGGTATCTGGTGTCGCTGGGCTAAGTTTACATCGATAAAACAGCTGCAAGCTCCGGAGTCAAGGATAGCAGACACTGGAAGAGCTCTTGCCGAAAGCTTAAACGAGATAGGAATTGAAATGTGAGCATGGTTGATGGGAGCGAAAGGTGGACTGGCAGGTAAGTCATTTGGTAACTTACGCAACTTGGCGGGGCAGTTCCGCACATAGTGCCCGGCTTCTCCGCAATAGGGGCATAAATTGTTCTGGCGTCGGCGCTGGCGTTCTTTAGGTGTCAAAGAGGTATGTAATAGACCTATTTGCATGGGTTCAGGTTCCTCCACAGAAGGTGTAGTAGAGCTGGTAGGCGCCATGTTGGTTGACGGTGGAGCCCTAGGTAGCATCCATATGGGGCGACTTAGCCCAGTGGATCTCTCTAATCTATGCTCCCTAAGATGACGGTCAATTTGTATAGAGAAGGTAATGAGCTCCTCCAGAGTATCGGGTACTTCTACACTGGCCAGTTCATCCTTGAGGGATTCAGCAAGGCCTAGACGGAACTGGTAACATAGGGCAGTGTCATTCCAATGGGTATCTGTGCTCCAGTGCCTAAATTCTGTGACGTAATCCTCCACTGCCCTGCGTCCCTGCTGGAGTACATGAAGAGCAGCTTCTGCTGATGCGGCTCGCTGGGGGTTATCATACAGTTGAGCCATGGAACCAAAAAAGATGTTTAAGGAGGCTAACTTGGCATCCTCCTTTTCCAGGAAGTGATGGGCCCATGCTTATAGTTCTCCCTGGAGCAGAGAAATCACAAATCCCACCTTCGTTGCTTCAAGGGAAAAGGTCCGGGGTTGTAAAGCGAAAAAAAGCTCACATGCGTTGCGGAACGCCCGGAACTTGCTTCGATCTCCAGAGAATCTTTCTGGTGTAGGGACTCTTGGCTCGGGAGGTAACATCATCACAGCAGGAGGAATTATGTTTCCTGGGGTAGCAGCGGGAGTAGGAGCTGCTACAGGCCTATCAGACAACGCAGGTGCAGGTGCAGGTAAGGTCTGAAGGCGGTTCTCCAGCCGGGTGTATCCTTCTTGAAGATCCTTGACGGCCTGTGTTAGTGCCGAGATGTGATGACAAATCTCATCTAGAGGAGAGGCTCCGACATGGCCTACTGGTACTGTAATGTACCTGGTGGTGGAGCCTGATTTGGAGAGAGGGCGTCCTCTTACCACTTCCGTTCGGGACCCCTGAGAGGGTAGACAGGAAGTAACGAGGAGGGAGGGGCACGAGTGCCTGACGGGTCTGCGGTGACAGCTGGCAGGTGAAGACTCGGAATATCAGGATGCAGGTGAGCAGGTGCAGCAGAGAGGTGTAGCTGAGATGCGGATGACAGCTGGTAGCCAAGGATAGCCACAGGCAGGAGCGGTAGAAAAGTCAGGCAGGCCAGGTCAGGATCAATCTGACGGATCAGGTACAGAGGAGTAAGCAAGCGGATAGTCAAAGGGAGAGCCGGGTCAGTGCAGGTGGAGTTCGATCGCCGTCAGAATCAAGCAAGTGGATCACAGGAGTCAGGATTCAGGAAACAGGAAGTAGTAGACCAGAAGGCACCATTCTGTTTGTAGCAGGGGTTTAATTAGCCCACCTGTTAACGTCAGCACGTGCACGTGTGCGCAGCTGAGACATTCTTCTTCCCTGACAACCATTGTAGAAATTCATGTCAGTACAGTGATAGCAGCATGTAGGTAGGTGGAGGCTGCAGTATATCCTCCAACCTGAAGTTGGCAGTGTGCAGTTTTCTTCAGGCTGGCAGAAGACGATTGAGGACTAATTGTCCCCTTCTATGGGCTCTAAGCAGCCATCTTGGGGAGGGTGACATATCTTGCTGGATCAGGGGCGGACTGACCATTTGGAACCTCGGGCACTGCCCGAGGGCCCGGGGTCAGTAGGGGGCCCCATGAGATGCCCCTGGTACCTTTTTCATAGGCTTTTTTGAGTTTGGGCAAGGACACAGGGGCCCCATAATCCCCTATTGCCCGGGGGCCCCATGAGTTGTCAGTCCGCTCCTGTGCTGGATACTGAAATTCTGCAAGATTTAGGTGACCATTATCTATGGGATCCTATGCCAAGTGGCTTCCCCTTTGCACAGAGAATTGTTCGTTTGGCATTGCCACCATTCACAGAATGCCTTGTATTTTATCTCTGTGATTTACACAGTGTTTTCTGATTGCACGAGGAGGAGCAGTGATGATGGTTAGATCGTGGGAAACCTCCATGTCACTAATAATAATGTTTCCTTATAAGGGACAATCTCAATACAAACACGATAAAAATCTGACACAGGCTCTAACCTTTTGCTGCCCTCTCCCAAATACATTTTGCCTGGGGTTGGGATTAGGTGGTTGAATCAAAATTCATAACTGCTTGGGAAACAATCCTCTCATGACAATGGAGGGACACAGAATTGATAAAGATCTGGGAAATTATAAAAAAATACCATATGATGGCAGTCATTTTAGATGTCTGTTAGTTAAGTGTAAAAAAAAGCATTTCTTTTTTATTGAGTACATTTTTTTTTTCTTTTCCGGAAGTTCATTTTTAACCAACTAAAGCAAATCCCACTTTAGTGTGTAGTTGTCTCAATCTAGAGCACTAAGTGCCATTGCTGTCTGCTGCCCCATTCCTCTGCTAACAGCATTAGTCACTTCTGACAAGTTTTCCTGACACCAAGAGAAATATGGTGATAGGGGAGGGACCTCCAGCTGATTGACAGCCTCCACTCTCTTGCTGTGAGCAGTGTGAAGGGGGCATGTCCCTTCCCTCCAATCAGCTCTCAGAGCTCTCCTCACTGATGTAACTTCAGCTCCCCACCCCTTACGTTTCAGAGCTGAGAAATCCTGTGCAAATTCTGCAATTTGAAAGACAGCTGTGGATGAACAAGTACAACTTTTGTAGGAGGATTTGTTTCATCTCTGTGAGGCCAGTCACTTCCCTGGGTATATGTAAGGATTTACAACCATTTTAATATAGCAAAAAATCTGAGTTTTTGAAGCACGAGTGCTGCTATTTACAGTCTATTGTGTTTCTGAATAAACCCACCATTGGCTGGGAATTCCTTTTAATTAAAATTAAATTACATTTACAGCCCTCCATCAATTAGCCAGCTCAATACATAGATCGGGGTTCCCCCTCCAACAGATCCATACTTCCCTTCCCTGATGACTGCAGCCCGGCCAGGAAAATCTATTTCAGGACCACCCGTTGTGCCATAGATATAAATGGTACACTGTCCTACTTTCAGGTATCCAAAGAGATGTTTTGAACCAAATGTTATGATTACACCCTGGTAATTGTTTAAGAGCCTGTTAGGTCACAGCCCACTATAACTATGAAGGAATACTCTGTTTTTATGTATATTTTTTTACCTTTGTATTGGATCTAATTTTGGTTTTTATGCTCCTTTAGTGGACATTCCGCAAAACCTTTACCGATAGTTTGCTATGAACGATGTCTACTGAACTTGTTTTTGGTTGTTTGTACATTCTCTGCATTTATCATTTTTATTTTAAAGCCTTGATGGAGGGGGAATGTTAGCCTTTGAAATGCATTGGTTGCCTTTTATTGTTCTGTGTGGTAGCATCAATAAAGGACACTAGAGATTGGTTTGGTGCTCTCTTTTTTGGGACTACAGACATTACAAGAGGATGCCATCAGAGGAGGTATGTACAGACCTGTTGGAAGGGGACCCAGATCGGTGTATTGAGAGGAGGGCTGGGAGATTTTGCTTGAAATGTGTACTTTAAAAATAATTTTGCTTCCAGCAAAACCTGTCTGAAAATGTTCATGACTCCTCTGTTTCCTGTTCATAGAGGTTTCTTCACATGTCTCAGCCAAGATGGAGCAGTATACGATCCACTGAAGTACCTTTGGCTACAAGGCAGGCAGGTACAGTGATTACCAGGACTGTTGGCCAAACAGTCAAATTTTGTTCCAGATTTAATCAACACAATTCACCAATAAATTTGAACCTGTCATCATTCTTACAGTTTTTTTTTTTTTTTTTAAATTTTCATCTGTGACACATTATGGGTTACAACTAGTAAAAAAACCCCCCCAAAAACAAGCCTCTGGAACACTTACCCATCCACTGTCTCCTGTGATCTATTATTTTGTGGGGGTTTCCACCAACCTTTGCTTCCCCTTGATAAATGGGCCAATAGAAGATCAACTTTAGTTTGTTCAGCGCACAGCCTTATGTGTTAATTGTGCCATAGCAGTCAGTAGTGGCCAGCTAACCAGATCCATTACAATTAATAGCTGTTCTTTCCCTTGAAATCATTTGAAGGGGGTCTGCAGGTACCCATAGTCATGAGGAACATTGTCCAGTACAGCCAAGTTGGGTGATCATCAATTTATGCCTATAGATGCCTTTAGTTACACCTCTGATTGGAGGTTTTTATTCAAGTAGATCTAAATCTGATCACAAAAAAATCATAAGTTTTAACATGTAATGCCAAAAATTGTTTTCAGTCTGCAGCTTTTATTATAATATTAATTGGTGGCACTTCTGCAACTGCTTTCCACTTATGTTCTCAATAATCATGACCAGGGGTCTCCATACTTCCTAAACAAAGGGCTGGTTTACTGTCCTTCTGAATTCATGGGGTCCGATTGTGGCCAGAAGGAGTAAAAATGTCCTGGCATCAGTGGAAGTAAAGCATTTCATAGCACCTGTGGTCAACAGGACGAGGAATAGTTCTCCATCATTGGTATTAGTTGGAGGATAGTGCCCCACCATTGGTAATAGTTGGGAGAATGGTGCCCCATCACTGATATTGAATATATTGGAGTGGAATGGAGAATGCCCCATCATTGTTATTAGTTGGGGGAATAGTGCCCCATCATTGATATTAGTTGGGGGAATGGTGCCCCATCACTGATATTAGTTGAAAGAATAGTGTCCCATCATTGGTATTAGTTGGCGGAATAGTGCCCCATCATTGATATCAATGGGAGGGATAGTGCCTCATCATTAGTATCAATGGGAGAGAGAGTGCCTCATCACTGGTAATAGTTGGAGGAATAGTGCCCCATTGTTGATATCAATGAGGGGGCTAGTGCCCCATCGTTGGTGTCAGTAGCAAGCATTATGTCCCACTGTTGGTGTCAGGTGGGAAGAATAGTGCCTCATAGCTGTGAGAGGGATAATAGCCGTAATAAAGAGCCGTATAATTGCAAGAAAACATGCAGTTTGAAGACAATTGACCTTGACAAACAATGTTTATTGTACACTGTCTAAATACCCAAGGGGTGCAAAACCTTAACTATTTGGCCGTTTGTCAACAAGGGTTTCTTGCCAATATCGCTTCACTATCAGTAAAAGTAGACTGTCAACTTTTCAGTCATTTCTGAGTCCTTCACTGCAGTGTGCACATGGAATAAGATGGCAGGAAGAGTGGGCTCTTTACAGATGCCCCTTTTTTTCATGCAGATGAAACGAGATATTGATACTTGTTGTATCCCTCTAGATCTCCCCAGACTCTATTGTTCCATTGGCACAGAAAAGGGGATGAACTTTGTCTAATCCAGTTGAAATTGGCTCTGTGGAAGTTGTGTAAAGTGCACTAGTGGCCGTTTACACCTGCTATTAAGAGCCTTATTCAGGCACTTCCTGTTGTGAGGTGACAACTGTCTTCCAATTGTGATGCCACCTTGTCATATGTGCTCTTGCTGGAGGTAAAAGTGGCCATTTATACACTCACTGTATAGGTGTGGGTAACTGGTCCGGTGCAATGATGTGAAGTCTGTTCTAGGGTTTATAAAAATTCCATTATTTCAGGATTCTGTTTTTCTAACAGGTTTGGATGTATTGCCGTCTCTACAGAAAGGTGCCCAGGTTCCATAGACAGGAAATACTTTCATCTGCAATTGCAGGTAAACATTTCATATAGTGTTATCTGTATGATCACTGTATTACTTGATGGAATGTTTATTACTATATTATTTGATATATGGCCTCACATGCCTGAGGTCTCATTTGTTTATAATAATGTTTAAAGCAGAACTCCAGGCAAACAGCTACCCATGGATTCCTGACATTTACTCAGCCCGACCACATTGCACAGCCAGCTCAGAGACTCAACTTATCTCTGCTGCAGTTAAACAATGCAAAGTCTTGTCCCCCCCACAGCCTGTGATTGGATGGTGGAAAAAGAGGCAGTGGACTAATGAGTTAATTTCTCTCACTTTGATGTGTTATCACAAATTTTCCTTGTTGGCACATGAGCACAACTGACTGACTCCTTGTGCTGCTTTCCCCTCTCCCAATTAGAGCTCTGCTGTATAAGGGACTTATACCAAAACAAATTCAGATACTTGCACTAGTTTTTTCTTTCTTTTTTTTTTTTTTTTATGTGGCAGCCTCCTCTAGTTATTCTGCTAAGTTAAATTTAAGTTTTGACTTCACTGTAGTGAGTGGAGCAGTGATTGAGTTTGTCTGTTCAGGGTTTCCTGAGCTGAGGGTTGGATTTCTTTTACTTGCCTCTTCAAGAGGTTTCCAGAGTATAGGGCAAGGAGATTCAAATGACCAGCATGGATACTTAGCATGCCCTGCTGATCCCTAGAAGTAGGTATCCCATAGTAAATATATGTCCTCGGCTGGAAGTGGAATTCTGGGGTTATGGCTGTGGCAATGTGCCATAACCCCGGCAATTCTCTTTCTTCTAAACATGGTCTGAGCAGCGGATTCGCCGCTAGATCCCTTTCAGAAGCAGCGGGAGGGATTTTTCTTCAACCCTCCCCCCAGGGAGATCCGGGCTTACCTGGATGACCTGTGATCCTGAGAATCATCATGCTGGCTGGGCATGAAGATGAGTAAAGGAAAGTTGGCCTCCACTCATCACTATGGCCTAGGGGGAATAGAGCGATGTCATTACATCACTTCCAGTTCCGACCTAGTGTAAACAAGACTATTTATTTTTAAAAGCATTAGATCAATTCTTTTTTTTTTTAATCCAATGCTTTACATTGTAGAGGAGAGATCTGGGGTCTTCTCTCCATAAAAAGGACCTTCCACTGCTTATTTCTATCACAAGGGATGTTTACATTCCTTGTGATAGGAATAAAAGTGATCAAAATATTTTATTTTAAAGGGACAGTGCAAAATTAAAAAAAAGTTATAAAATAAATAATAGAAAAAAAAAATTAAAGCGCCCGTAGGTAAGAAATTAAACACATACATAGGTCATGCCCACATATGTAAATGGTGTTCAAACCACACATCGGAGGTATCGCCACGAACATCAGACCAAAAGCAGGTATGGAACTTGTTCAGTAATTTTATGTTTTTTCATCGAGCTACAAATAAATGTAAGTGCAGCAATCCTGAATCATTTATTCTACATGCACGGCTGTGGGAAAACCTGATTGCATTGCACTAAAAAAATCCACTGAAGCTGTTCACCATACCTGTTGGGGGACATATATATAATATACATATATATATTACCTTGTCTATATATATATTTCTACATAGGAGGAGAGTTTCTTCTGGCTCATGCGAAACACTCCACTGACTCCCTCAAATGTGCCTTTGTGGTGACACGTGATGGTCGAGCAGTCAAGGTCCAGCGCACGATCTTCAGCGAGTGTTTCTACGTTATGGCGATGGATGAACTGTGGAGGACCACAAATAAAGAGCTGTACAAGGTGAAAGCGAGAAGCCAGAAACCTTTTGAAAATTCAAGGTTCAGTATTTCTGCTGCAGGAACTCAAACGTGTTTGAAATAAACATAGGTCTATACTTTTTTTAACCTGTGGTGGTGCGCAAAAACTACATACCTAAGTGTACAAAAAGTGCATGTGAAAAACTATTCCACCTTCCAAAGAAATAGAGGTGCAAGACTCCTGACAGGGACAAAGCCACCTAGCCAAAAGGCCTGGCAGACCCCTCTCCTCATGGTCTGCCAAAGCTGACCACCGAGTACTAGGTGAGTGGCTCCCAAAGTGAGACCCCCCCCTTTCCTTTTCAGGAAAGGAAGGAACCTGATGGACACACATCCTCTCCCTAGACTTCAGGGCAGGCCCGAGGTTTCACACCCTCCATCCTAATGAAAAGAAGAAACACAGTCAAAAGTGCAAAGTGAAAAAAACAGTGAGAAAAATAAATTAAATAAATAGTGCCGATGCAGGTGCACTGGCTAGCAAAAATTGCCCCAGACTTAGCTGAAAGCCCTAGCCCATAGAAGTGCAATGCAGTGCCTTTTCACACAGTGGGTTTCCCAAGCACAAGTGTTACTAAGAGCACCCATGGGGCAACCAACTCCCATTGAGCACAGACACCGTAAGTTTTCTGCCTTCCCCACTCATGGCCAGATCAGGCAGACCCATTCCAAGGAGGAGGCACTAGACCCCTCCAGTTCTCCTTTGGGAACTACTCCCATGCTCCACCTCCCCTGGGCATCCTGGTTTCTGTTCCAGCAGGTCAAACCTTCAGGGCCCCTCCTTTCCTATAGGCAGTGGAACGAGACGGGGTGCCCACTCTCACCTGCCCTCTTTGCTTTGATCATGGAGCCCTTAGCACAGGCCTTATGTATCTCCCGAGATTAAAGGAATACGGGTGGGTAATATTATTGAGTAAGTAGCTCTATACGCGGATAGTGTTGTTCCTTCATGATCCAGGACTGTCTTTTAAAGAGGCCTTGACCTTGGTTTCCGACTTATCCCCGCTGTTGGGACTGAGAGTCAATTGGGATAAAGATAAATCTCTTATCTTGCCCATTGACAAGGATGCTAGGGCCCTGGCTGATCCTGACATTCCTCTGCAGTGGGCTTCAGTAGTGAAATATCTAGGTATTATGATCTCAGTGAACCCCTTGGATTTCTGTAGGCTCAACCTGTCGCCGTTATTGTTAAAGGTGAAACAGTGTATAGCTGCTTGGACCAATCTCCCACTTTCCTTAATGGGTAAAATTAATTTGATCAAAATGAAGCTGCTTCCCTCCTTGCTTTACGTGCTCCACCATACTCCGATTTGGATCACGTGGAAATATTTTAAACAATTTGACACAGCAATTGTTTCTGTTTTGTGGGGCTTGAGGCAACCAAGATTTAAATTAAAGGTGCTGCAGAGGCCATGGACCGGGGGGGGCTGGCTTTTCTGGATTTGTACACATAGTATATTGCAGCGTTGCTCTCCCATGCTCATAACTGGATAGTGAAAGATGAGACTAACACTGCTGTGTGGTTTTGGAAGCGACTTTCCTGGGCTCTTATGAAGCGCTATGTAATCTTTTGTATAGGGGCCATTTGTCCCCATTCCCTATTACAATGTCCATGAGGGCACTCCTTAAGGCCTAGCATTTGCAATTCCCTCCTGAGCCCCAGGTTTGGTCTCTCCATACCCCGTTGTGGTTGAACCCCCTCCTTGTCAGAATTTTTTCTCTTCTCGGACCCCTCAGTTTGGGCCTCTAAGGGCATTAAGTATTTACAACAGATATGTGAGGGAGGTGTGCTTAGAACTTCCCAACTCGTATTTTTTCCGATACATCCAACTAAACCACGCCTTTCGTCAGCAGTTTCAAGGTTGTCCACTTCAACTAGTAGTGTCTGGGGTTGAATCCCTACTACGGGATGAATCTCTAGTTAAACCTCTCTCCTCTATATATGGGGCTTTAAGACCGTCTATTCATGAAGGTCTGGATAGACTTCTCTCCACATGGCACCCCGAGGTACCAGAGCTAGATTCAGATTGGGAGGACATTTGGGAATATCCTATGCAACAATTGGTCTCCACTGGGACCGATTGATTCAGTTTAAGATACTTCATAGAATCTATTATACCCCCCCAGAGGTTGCATAGAATATTTCTGGCGCATCCCTCCAGGTGCTGGCATTGCCCCAATGACCCAGCGTCCCTTTTGCATGTCTTCTGGAATTGTCCTATTATTCAGATTTTTTTGGACTGAAGTGGTTGATAGTATGTCCTCCATAACTATGATCTCAGTACCATTGTCTATTGAGGTTTGTCCATTGGCCGTCTCTCGTGCAATGCAAACTTTGATTGGCCTGTTACTCTTCTATGCTCATAAAGCTATTCTCTTAAAATGGAAGTACCCTGGGCCCCTACCTCCTGGTTTTTGGAAACATTTTGTTAATATGGTCCTCCCACTTTATAAATACACCTATGAATCTAGGGGGTGTCCTGCAAAATTTACCAAGGTGTGGGACATCTGGACTGATCCGGTGATTCTGTCCCCTCCACCTCAGATTAGGGCTGATTAGTGTTGCTCCTTCTCCCCATCTGGGGTCCTCTGCTAGCTTTGTCATCTTACCTTCATGTTTCCTAGCAGCATATGAGATGCATCACTGCTGGGTATATATCCTGGGAATTTTTTGGTGCTGTTGTCTATTGTTGGTTGTTGTGTATGAGTTATTTTCTGTTTTCCCTTTTTTGTTTTTTTTGTAGTTTGAAGCCTGGGTCTGCCCTATTAGGCTTTGTTTTGTATTATTTTTTAACCCAAACTTTTCAATAAAAGAGAATTTGTAAAAAAAAAAAAAAAACCTTCAGAACCCCCATCATGCCAGCAGAGAGATACTATACAGCCAGCCATTCCTACCAAAAAGCCAGAATAGTGGTGTAGTACCACTGCTGGACACTGATATTACACTTGATCTTAGCCAAAAGGCAGAAAAACAATTTGAAGCCTTAAAACCCACTTGCCTCACATTTTTTTTCTATGGTGGCTGAGGTTTCTGGGTTAAGAGCGCACTCAATGTTCGCTTGGAGGCGAGTCCAAGGCTCAAGGTACCCAGTCAGAGAGAGAGAGACCACACACACAGCTCTTCGTTGATGTAATTATCTGGTAAATTGCATATTTATAAATTATTAGTCATGAATGATGACAGTTCTTATAACACTGGTTTACTGGCAGCAATTGGTGATTTCACAGCAAGGTAGCAATTGGTGATTTCACAGTATTACCAGGCTTAAAGCCTGTAGCACAGGAGGATGGCTTCCACTGGACGGGTGGTGGTTTGCATTGCACTGGACAGGACTGTATGGCTGCTAAGGAGAGTGCCACGTGGATAAGCCAGATACTGGGATGTTTCCTCTCTGCAGGAGTAGTCCCTGTTCTTACCCTACTTGCCAGCAACCTCTCCCTGCGCTAGTCACTTTCCCTAGCTAGCGAGGTCTCTGTCCTTGACCTTCCACTCACTCCAAGCATGCCTGAATGATGTAGGAGGCTCTATATATAGGGTTCCTGGTCAAGATGGACATCTGAGGTCTCCAGAGGTTGCAATGTCCAGTCAGTCAGTGACCCTGAAATAGTCCATAAGGGGACAATGCCCTCAACAGATTCCACTCCACCTGCCTACATCCTTCCAGCACAGTGACTGAGCTGGCACAAGCAGCTCCTGGTCAACCTTCTTTATTTTTTAGTGGGGTAAAATATACACATGCACTGTGTATGGTCATACTTGTAGACTGGATCATCAGCAATGACGTTACCAATCTATATTTTAGAAAGCAGCACGAGAGATGATGGACCAGCTTGTACATTGGGCGAGAGAGGATCCATCGGGATTGGGAAGGCCAGAGCTGCCGGGAGCTGATCCTGTGAATTCTATGGCAGTGCCAATGATGCTGTTAAACCTGGTGGACCAACTGTGTGAGGAGGATAAAGATGCAGCAAAGAAATATGAGGAACTGGGATCCTGGAGTGTGGAGAGGATTCTGCAACACATGCAGGTACTCAAAATTGTGCGCAGTCTATTGCATTAGGATGTGCGCCCCAAAGCTCAAACACACATACATATCTTTATGATCTCCCTGCGGGCACATTATCTCTCTACCTTCAGATTCAGAGTGAAAGAGAAATGCTTCCACACTTCTCTTATGAGCAGAGACACTCAGCGGGAGGTCTTTCCCATCTCCTCACTGGCACACAGAGCAATAATAGTAATGCACACGGGGTGATTAGAGTGTGCTCAGGCACACCCTGTGCACATGCCTATGCGGGTACCTGAGACACCAAACTACACTGGGAGGAGATGGCAGTGAAGGCTGCACACAGCCAGAGTGCTAAATATACATATACCAATGCACATTAGGGAGAAGTTTTGCCTGCCAAATGATTTGTATTTCTGTCCATCCAGTACTGAGATGTACACAGCTCTGCCACATGGTACAGCCCTGGACCTGATTTTTATCTGCTGCAGCTAAATAACACTTACAGGTCTTGTTTTTCCCCAATCTTGTGTTTTGACAGTAAAAAGAACAGTAGCAGATCAATGAGCTTATCTATCACGCTTGAGTTCATCTATTACTCTGCTCTCTCCTCCTATCAACATATATATGTTAGCACGTGAGCACTGCAGCACAACTGATTGGCTCCTTGTGCTGCTTCTGTCTTTCCCAGTCTGCACTCTGCTGTACATTAGTTTGCAAGTGGCTAATCCCTAGTCAATTCAAGTAGTTACACTGCTTGTGAACGAAATACATCGAAATACATGTAAAGTGGTTCTAAAGGCTGAAGTGTTTTTTTTTAGTTTTTTGGGGTTTTTTTTTTGTTATTTTACTTTCATGCATTCTATGCATGAAGGTACAAAACAAACCAGTGTACAGCTCCCCTCCCAGCCTTCCCCCCAATAATTACCTGAGCCCGATCTCGATCCAGCAATAAGATCAGCAGCTCTCCCAGGTCTCTCCCTGCTCATTGGCTCAGACCCAGCAGTAGGAGTTATTTGCTCCTGCTGCTGTCAATCACAGCCATTGATTAGGGAGCAGGGGGCGAGACTGAGCCACCCTCTGTGTGTCTTATGGACACAGAAGTGAGCATAGATGGGGGCCCCCATAGGAAGTCGGCACTCAGCAGTGGGAAGTGACAGGAGAGTCGGTGGGAGACCCAAGAGGATGGGGAGGATCGGGGCTGCTCTGTGCAAAACCATTGCACAGAGCAGGTTAGTATAAAATGTTTGTTTTTTTGGGTTTTTTTTTCTAATTTTTACCTGTTGCAATCATTTTAATGTTTGCAGAGCGACTTTATTTTTTTTGTATCTTCCTAGAATTCAGCTTTCAAAAGCATTGCATACTTTTCCAATGGCAATTGTTTGCCTTACCTTGCAATGATGAGCTCATGTGTTGTGGCTGCAGTTTTTAGTATAATGGCTGATTAGTTCTCCTGTGTCCAGGTATCCATTCACCTAGCATGTCCCTATTTGCCATAGGGACAGTCAAACTTTTTATATTTCAGGTCACACAGTGTCTCCAGTCCATGCCTTGCCATTTCCTGTGTTTCATCATAAACGTGAGAGTCATCACAAACGTGGGAGTGCTAGTGTGATGAAAGACTGCTTGGTGGTCTCTCCGTGAATTGCTCTGCCTGTTTGTGTCTGTGTAAGATCTCATTACTGTGTAGCTCTCACCTGCAGAGCACTAGTAAGAGATCCAGGGATTGTGGGATATATAGTTTCTTCAATGGAAGTGTCAGTTCTTAGACTACAGACATTTATCTGTGCAGTACCATGCTGAATGCCTCATGTTTGAACACAGGAGGGCAACAAGTGACACCATAAAATGACATGATCAATGCACATCTTATGTAAGTGAAAAACAAAAGTAGGTAGGAGGGTTTAGAACGCCTTTAAGAACATAAAACTAATGTAAAAACACAGGAGCTAATAAAATGAGCATTCCTAAAAAAAAAAAAAAGCTTGGCCTATCCTTTTTAATTCACTCATCCTATCATTCATCTTATTTAATCAGCTTCCCAGACTGCTTAACCCTTATGGCCCCCTTATTTTCTGATCCCATGAAAATGCTAATTGGTGTATACTCGGGTTACAATTTCCTCCCTAAATAGTTCTCAGACAACATAGAATCAGGCTACAGTCCTGTTCAGAAGCATAGTGTAAAGCCTACTGAATCTGGGTACATTGCATTCAATTCATATTAAAGTTTACCTATAGTTAAATGTTGACACAAAAATGGACTATTGACAGAGTAATTAAAAGCGGAGCTAGAGAAAGGTTTATTTTCTAATTCTTCCTGGGGAAAATGCTGCTTCTGGTTCTCTTCAGGGCTCATAAGGCCTAGGCAGTTGGGTCACATGTTTGCTTCCTAGCAAAATTACTACATAGTTACATAGTTAATCTGGCTGAAAAAAAGACAAAAGTCCATCCAGTTCAACCATAGAAAAAAAAAATAGTTATATTCCTATACCCACAGTTGATCCAGAGGAAGGCAAAAAAATCCCAGCAAAGCATGATCCAATTTGCTCCTACTGGGAAAAAAATTCCTTCCTGATCCCCCGAGAGGCAATCGGATATTCCCTGGATCAACTTTACCTATAAATGTTAGTATCCAGTTATATTCTGTGTATCCAAGAAATAATCCAGGCCTTTTTTAAAGCAATTCACTGAGCTGGCCAGAACCAACTCTTGAGGGAGTCTATTCCACATTTTCACAACTCTTACTCTGAAGAAACCTTTCCGTGTTTGAAGATTAAATTTCTTTTCCTCCAGACATAAAGAGTGCCCCCTTGTCCTCTGTGATGACCTCAGGGTGAATAGCTCTACACCGAGTTCACTATATGAACCACTGATGTATTTATACATGTTGATCATATCCCCCCTTAATCTCCTCTTCTCAAGAGAGAATAAATTCAGTTCCTCTAATCTTTCCTCATAGCTGAGCTCCTCCATGCCTCATATCAGTTTAGTTGCCCTTCTCTGTACTTTCTCCAGTTCCCCAATGTTCTTTTTGTGAAATGGTGCCCAAAACTGAACTGCATATTCCAGATGAGGTATTACTAATGATTTGTACAGGGGTAATATGATATCTCTCTCTCTGGAGTCTAAATAAGTCTTTTATTAAAAAAGATTTGCAGTCAGTCTAGGTCCATCATCTGGATATATGCTTTTATGGGTTTTTTTTTTTACTTTATTTTTTTATTTTTTTTTGCTTGATTTTATTTTAAAAAAAATGTTATCCATAAGGTCGCCAAACTAAATATAATAGCCTCCAAAATTTATGTAAAAGTTCTTTTATCCATAAAAACTAAAAATGTTCAACAAAGGGCTTCCAATTGTAATCCTAATATAAAATAATACAGCAGAGCATAAGATATTAATAGGAAAATGCCTCCCTGTTCTCTTTCCATTCTGTTTCCAGTAAATTGTGAAACCGTAAATACAGATAATACCCTCTTTACAATTAAACCTTTAATCCTTGACTTTTCCGAAGTCTTTAGGCTGGTCATATCATGCTGTATGTATCATTTCACTATGAATGCAGGGTACTATGATGGAGCCCCTTTAAGGGGTGGGTTCATGAAGCCCTGCACTCACAGTATGCCCTTAGTCTTCCAGGATAAATGATACCCAGTGTAGAGAATTAACAATACTTTTGCTCGTGACTGTAGGTGAGATAGGTCTGTGCATGCATATGCCATGCCTTTGCATTCATATAAAATTTCCAGATGCACAGGCAGCACTTAGTATAGTCAGAAATAAGGAGGAAAGGAATAATCTAAATGTATTGCAGGGTTACTGAAGGTTTTATGACCTTTGGTGAATTGTACATTGATGTTCTCTCTGAGCCTTCTTGAATTTATTTTAGCGTGATGGCCAGGCCATTTTGGAGAACGTATCTGAGGATGGAAAGGAGCTTCCAGGCTGTTTGGGCCGGCATCAGAACCCTGGTATAGAATGTTCATATATATATTCATAGACACGAACTGTTCCTTTGCTTTTATCTAATATTCTTTTTCCCATCACAGGACATGCCCTTGAGGCTGGCTGGTTTCTTCTGCGCCACGCCATGAGGCACTCTGACCATACTTTGAGACAAACTGCGGTGGAGAAGTTTGTGTTGCTGCCATTTCACTCTGGGTGGGATCAAGAGCATGGAGGTCTCTTCTCCTTTCAAGATGTGGATGGGCATTGCCCTACACAGGTGAACATGAAGTTTGAAAGAAGGGCTTCTCATCCAAGGAAGGCCCATTACCCAAAACTAACACCAACTGCTACTAGGCTGTTGTTAGTATATGGTGGAGCATTAAAGCTGAACTCCAGGCAAAAGGCTAAATACACAGATAAAATGCATATAAGGGAATATGTAACAAAAAAAAGTGGTGATTAATTGGGATTTGGGAGTGGGGCAAAGTTCAACTTTAATTTTTTCCCTGTTTCATTGGGATAAATCCTGTATGTCAAATTGCGGCCAGCTCTTCCCTTTTGCTTTCATATTTCTTTTGAGAGAAGCATATTTCCCATCCATCTATTCATTCTTTTATCCAATTGTAAATTCCCTAGGAACAGTAATTCTCTTCTTGTATCGTCTTACCTGTAAGGACATAAATGAATAGAGAAAGATTAGGTTTACTCATACATTGTGCAGTATGTAGATAATTCCGATTTCCTTTTTTCCAGTTGGAGTGGAGTATGAAAATGTGGTGGCCGCACACAGAAGCTCTGATTGCTTTCCTGCTCGGATATCAGGAGACTCGGGATCCACGTCTGCTTGACCACTTCCAGACAGTGTTTGACTATGTTTTCACACGGGTGTGTAACATTAAAGCATTTTTGCTGCAAAAAGTAAAATGTAAAAGCCATATAACTTGCTGTGCCACCAAACACTGCTTCAACCCTGGGAAAACTTGGTCCACTGGGAAACCAACACCCTGGGGTCCACTCTCACTGGTTCCTCTCACTAATCTTCATATGCTAAGTCCTTCAGTGAGATGGAGGTGAGCAGGGATACCAGTGAGAATTGTGGGGGACCCAGGGGTTGACACCCCCAGAAGTGCAGATAGCAAACTTTTGGAGACTATTTTCTCAGGTTTGGAGTGGTGTTCAGTGGTGTGGACAACAGGAAAGTAAGTATTTGCCTGTTGCTTTCCTGCTCCACCCCCATGTCCAGCCTTCTCATTGGACTAAGAAGGCTTATATTGTTGTGGTCCTTCCTGTGCTGCTCAACCTCTGTAAAACTACCCGAGCATCCAATTTCTCCAGATCCAAATGACAGAGACATGTTAGGTTGTTGAATTGTACAATGCAGTAGAGCCTGATTGCCTCAGTCCTACTATGAAATGGATTTTGCAGCTATTCCTCTTACAATCTCCACATAAAAGAAATAAAAAATCTGATAGGGTTGGTGAGCCCCTGTTAAAAACTGCTGTGGCAGAGGCAGGCAAGAGGGTAGTCAGTTCCAGGAAGGAGTCCAGGCAGGCAAGAGACTAGGCAGGTCCAGGAAGGAGTCCAGGCAGGCCAGAAAATAGGCAGGTAAAGGCAGGCTAGAAAATAGACAGGTCAAGGCAGGCAGGAAAGTAGTCAGGTTCAAGCGGGAGTCCAGGCAGGCGAGACAGTAGGCATGTCCAGGCAGGCAAGAAAGTAGTCAGGTCAAGGCAGGGAAGAGTGTAGTCAGGCCTAGGCAGGGGTTAAGGCAGGAAAGAAAATAGTCAGGTCAATCAAGGTTGGCAATAAAGTGAAAGTTTGCCAAACCCACAGGATATAATAGAAGCCCTGGCATTTTTGTGGGGGGTGTGCATCGCACCTGGGTGACACCAGGGCTTATTTCTGCCAGAACTCGCTGGTCACTGCTCAGTACTGTCACTTATAAATACAGAAGCGCTGCTTCTGTACTTACAAATGACAGTGCTCCTCTCCAAGCAGCCGCTCAGAACCTCCCTGCCCTGCGCATCTCTATATGAGAGCAGAAGTGGAGGGGCGGGGAATCTCACGGTCACGGTGGAAGCTCCACCTGAAGCCTGCTAGCAGCTTGCATTGTCCTTTCTCCTTCTGTAAGGTGTACCTGCTCTTATGTAGCAGTCCCTCTCTCTGGTGCTTTGCAATTTGGTGGAGACAATTTGGGGTGGGAGGAGAGCTCTCTAATGGAAGGGGGATTGAGCTATATATTGGAATCTGGGGCGAAACATTTGTACTGGGGGGGGGACTTGGGGGATACACAGCACACCTTTCAACTCTGCACTTTGTACACAGGTCAACCCTGCACTCTGTACACAGCACACCCCTCAACCCTGCTCTCTGTACATAGTGCAACCCTCACCCCTACACACTGTACACAGCTCGCCCCTGAACCCTGCACTCTGTACACACGCACCCCTGAACCCTGCACTCTGTACACAGCGCACCCTTCACCCCTGCACACTGTACACAGCTCAGTCTTGAGCCCTGCACTCTGTTCGTAGCGTACCCCTCAACCCTGCACTCTGTACACAGCACACCCCTCAACCCTGCACTCTGTACACGAATGGGCAGGCAGGCCTATGGTACGGTCACACTGCGACTGACGACAGCCACTACCCACAGACCAGAGTCCCTCAGGGCGCGGAGTCTAAGCCCCAGGCTACCCTTCACCAGGGCCCCTGATGGTGGGGATGGACTTGACGCAGCCTGAGACCAGGTCGCGGCCCCCGAGTGACCCCAGCTGCGATAACGACTGCCGCCAATGGCGTACAGCTGGTGGGAGCTAGATGGGAACACGAGTAGAGTAGTCAGACAAGCCGGGTCAATAACAACGGAGCAGACAGTACTAGACGGTAGGCAAAGAATACTCAGGTCACGGGCCGGGTTCAGCAACGGGAGGTCAGATAAAGGGTTAACGCAGAGAGTAGTCTTGTCCAAGCCGAGTCGGTTACCAGGAGAGCAATGGGAACAACACAAGAGCTTGCAACAGGGCAACATACAGGACACAAGTGCAGAGCACACTTGCAGACAGCAGGTTTAAATGTGCTCAACCACACCCTTCTGAGGAGGAGCCGCAGAAGCCTGAAGGCATAAAGGTTCCCACCATGCTTTGCAGAAAACCAAGATGGATGCCAGCTCATGGAGATGCACAAGCTCTGAAGAAAGGTAGGACCTTGACAGTACCTCCTCCTCAAGGGCCCCTCCCCCTCCGTGGCTCAACAAAAGGTTTCTGAGGAAATCGGGCGTGAAAAGCGCGGAGGAGGGCAGGAGCATGAACATCCGCGGAAGGAACCCAGGAACGTTCCTCGGGACCATAACCACGCCAATGGACCAAAAACTGTACCCGACCGCGGACCAACCGAGAATCCAAGATGCGGCTCACCTCATACTCCTCATGGCCGTCGACCCTGATAGGACGAGGCCGAGGCGGAGAGGCAGTAAAGCGATTACAGATCAGAGGTTTCAACAGGGATACGTGGAAGACATTGGAGATGTGCATCCCAGGAGGAAGAGCAAGGGCATAGGCAACCGGGTTCACCCTGCGAAGAATGCGGAAAGGACCAACAAAACGGGGGGCCAGCTTTGGTGCGGGCACCCGAAGCTTGAGGTTGCGAGTGGACAACCACACCCGATCTCCGACCTGGTATGAGGGAGCGGGCAACCGTCTACGATCAGCCTGGAGCTTCTGGCGCTGTGCTGAGTCCTTCAAGGACCTCTGAATCTGCCCCCATGAGGAGCGCAGAGCAGAGCAGCCAGGTGGTTATCCACAGCCGGAATGTCCTGTGGAGAGAACAACTCAGGCAATACAGCGGGTTGGAACCCATAGTTGGCCATGAAGGGGGACATCCCAGAGGAGGAGTTGACAGCCGAGTTCCTCGCAAACTCTGCCCATGGCAGGAGATCGACCCAGTTGTCCTGATGATCCGATATATAGCAACGAAGGAATTGTTCCAGGGCCTGGTTGGAACGCTCCGCAGCCCCATTGGACTGAGGGTGGTAGGCCGAAGAGAAGGAAAGCTCGATACCCAACTGGGAGCAGAAGGCGCGCCAGAACCTGGACACAAACTGGCTCCCACGGTCCGAGACAATCACCTTGGGCAACCCGTGCAAGCGAAAGATCTCCTTGGCGAAAACCGTAGCCAGTTTCTGTGCAGTCGGCAATTTCTTGAACGGAACGCAATGGCACATCTTAGAAAAACGATCGATCACCATAAGAATGACCGTATGACCTTGAGACGCAGGAAGATCCACAATAAAATCCATTCCCAGGTGTGACCAGGGACGCTCCCCATTGGGAATGGGTTGCAGAAGGCCCAATGGAAGGTGCCGAGGAGATTTATTCTGGGCACAGACCGAACAAGCTGCTACATATGAGGCGATGTCAGAACGGAGAGATGGCCACCAGAATAACCGAGAAACGACCCAGGACAATTGGTTCCTACCAGGATGACCGGCAGTCTTGGAATTATGGTAGGTACGTAGCAAGCGGGGTACGCAATCCCTCAGGTACAAAACATCTTCCAGCAGGTCTCTCAGGGGGAGCGTTAGTTTGAGCCGCCAAAATCTGCTCCCCAAGGGGAGAAGTCAGGTTGGTACGAATGGCAGCCAGGATCTGGTTTGGAGGAATGACCGAGGTCGGCTCAGTGTCCTCCCTGGACAGCTCAGAGTATTGCCGCGACAAGGCATCAGCCCTGACATTCTTGGAACCAGGCAAGTAAGAGACCACATAGTTAAAACGTGACAAAAACAGAGCCCACCTGGCCTGACGGGGTGTCAACCTCTTAGCCTCCGAGAGATATGTGAGGTTCTTGTGGTCAGTGAGAACTAGGACCGGGACACAGAACCCTCAAGCAGGTGCCTCCATTCCTTGAGAGCCAGAATAATGGCCAACAACTCCCTGTCTCCAATCTGGTAGTTGCACTCTGCAGAGGAAAGCTTCTTGGAGTAGAACCCACAAGGAAGTAGGGGTCCCTCGGGTGACCGACGCTGGGACAAGAGGGCGCCTACTCCTGTCTCAGATGCATCAACCTCGAGAACAAAAGGCAACCCAGGATTGGGATGAGACAGAATTGGGGCCGAAGTGAAGGCGGCTTTCAGAGCCTTGAAAGCTGAGATGGCCTCGGGTGACCACTCGTGAGGGTTACTGCCCTTCTTGGTCAGATCTGAGAGAGGCTTTGCCAATGTGGAAAAGTTCCTGATAAACTTCCGATAATAGTTGGCAAATCCCAAAAAGCGCTGAATGGACCGAAGACCACTGGGACGAGGCCACTGCAGAACCGCTGAAACCTTCTCAGGGTCCATAGAAAAAACCCACCGGGGAAATGATGTAGCCTAAAAGGCAACCTGGGATTGGTGAAATTCACACTTCTCGAGCTTACAGAAAAGCTCGTTTTCACGTAACCGTTGCAGCACCCGCTTAACATCCTGGATATGAGTCTCCATAGACGCAGAGTAAACCAGGATGTCGTCCAAGTAAACCACCACGCACTGCTGCAACAAGTCACGTAAGACATCGTTAATAAACTCCTGAAAGACCGCGGGTGCGTTACACAACCCGAAGGGCATAACCAGGTATTCATAGTGGCCGGTTCTGGTGTTGAACGCGGTCTTCCACTCATCGCCCTCCTTGATCCGTACAAGGTTGTAGGCAGCCCTAAGGTCGAGCTTAGTAAAGACCGTTGCTCCCTTGAGGCGGTCAAACAACTCGGTGATCAACGGAATAGGATAAGCATTTTTAATCGTGATCCGATTGAGACCCCTAAAATCAATGCAGGGTCTCAGCTCACCTCCCTTCTTTTTCACAAAAAAAAACCCAGCTCCTGCTGGAGACGTAGACTTGCGAATGTGCCCCCGGGAAAGCGCATCCGCAACGTATTCCTCCATGGCCTGATTCTCTGCCACCGAAAGAGGATACACCCTGCCACGCGGAGGAGTAGCACCAGTTTGTAAGGTTATGGCACAATCGTATGGACGATGAGGAGGCAGAGCACCGGCGCGCACCTTGTCAAACACGTCCAGGTACTCCCCATATTCAGTGGGCAGCACAGAGTCCGAGGAGGTGCACAGCACCTTAACCGGACCACGGATGCAACCAGCCCCACACCGTGGTGACCATGAGAGAATCTCGGCCGATCGCCAATCAAAGGTCGGATTGTGCCTCTGAAGCCAGGGATAGCCCAAAACCACGGAGTAGTGCGGGGAAGAAATTACCTGGAAACAGGCCAATTCCCTGTGAACAGCCCCAATAGCTACCTCCACCGGCAGGGTCTCGTGGGTAACCTGCGATGGCTGCAAGGGCCTGCCATCTATCGCCTCGAGAACCAATGGAGTCTCTCGAGCCTGCAGAGGAATGGAGTACTGGGCCGCAAACGAACTGTCCATAAACAAACCGCCAGCCCCAGAGTCTACCAGCGCCTGGGCCGTCACCGAGCCTCCTGCCCAAGAGAGGACAACGGTGATAAGCGGTTTATCTTTACGGGAAACCGGGGACGAGGAAACTCCACCCAAGATCTGCCCCCGACAGGATCTCAGGTGCGGGCGTTTCCCGGACGGACCGGACAGGACTGCCGAAAATGCCCCCCGAGTCCACAGTACAGGCAGCGACCCTCCCGACGCCGAGAGGCCCGCTCCCCCTCGGAAAGGCGAGCAAACCCCAGCTGCATGGGCTCACTACCAGACAAACCATCCCCAGGAGGCGTGGGAGGAGAGGGAGGCACGGGTGGGACAGAAAACGTAGGCGCCAAACGGTTAGGAGGCCTCCGCAGCCGCTCCTTAAATGAAGGCCTCTCTCTGAGCCTGGTGTCAATCAAGATTAGGAAGGAGATGAGTGCCTCTAACTCCACAGGCAGTTCTTTGGCTGCGATCTCGTCCTTCAACGCATCAGAGAGACCATGAGAGAAAGCAGCCACTAGAGCCTCATTGTTCCAACCCACCTCTGCCGCCAAAGTACGAAATTCGATGGCGTACTCGGCACGGTTCGTGAACCCTGATGCATGGACATGAGCAATTTGGCAGCAGAAGCGGAGCGAGCGGGTACGTCGAATACCGTACGGAAGGAGGCAACGAAACGGGTAAACACGTGAATCACCGGGTCATTCCTCTCCCATAAGGGATTAGCCCAGGCCAAGGCCCTATCAGAGAGTAGCGAGATTAGGAAGCCCACCTTTGCCCTCTCAGTAGGGAAAGCGTGAGGTATTAATTCAAAGTAAATCCCCACTTGGTTAAGGAAAAACCACGACACTGACTCGGTCCCCCCCCCCAAAGCGCTGAGGAAGAGGGGCAGAACCAGTCATACCTCTGGGTACCGCGGGTTCCGCAACAGATGCGGAGGTAGGTGGCAACAACCGGAGCAACAGTGGGAGAGTCCACCGGAGTAACAACTGACCTAATAGCCCCAGGGGTAAGGTGCGCTGTGCGTGCAAGCAGAGCCTGCAACGCCTGAGCGAACTGATCCAACAAGCGATCCTGTTGGTCAAGTCTGGCGAGTAACATAGGGATCGAAGGCGTACCTGCACCGTCAGGATTCATGGCACTTGTGTAATGTCAGGGCAGGAACGCTGGAATGGGCAGGCAGGCAGGCCTATGGTACGGTCACGCTGCGACTGACGACAGCCACTACCCACAGACCAGAGTCCCTCAGGGCGCGGAGTCTAAGCCCCAGGCTACCCTTCACCAGGGCCCCTGATGGTGGGGATGGACTTGACGCAGCCTGAGACCAGGTCGCGGCCCCCGAGTGACCCCAGCTGCGATAACGACTGCCGCCAATGGCGTACAGCTGGTGGGAGCTAGATGGGAACACGAGTAGAGTAGTCAGACAAGCCGGGTCAATAACAACGGAGCAGAGACAGTACTAGACGGTAGGCAAAGAATACTCAGGTCACGGGCCGGGTTCAGCAACGGGAGGTCAGATAAAGGGTTAACGCAGAGAGTAGTCTTGTGTCCAAGCCGAGTCGGTTACCAGGAGAGCAAATGGGAACAACACAAGAGCTTGCAACAGGGCAACATACAGGACACAAGTGCAGAGCACACTTGCAGACAGCAGGTTTAAATGTGCTCAACCACACCCTTCTGAGGAGGAGCCGCAGAAGCCTGAAGGCATAAAGGTTCCCACCATGCTTTGCAGAAAACCAAGATGGATGCCAGCTCATGGAGATGCACAAGCTTTTCTGCACCTTTTCTCTGAGAAAGAAAGCCCTGGGTGATACCATCAAACAGCACTGTGGCAGGCTGGGGGGGAGAGCTGCACCGATGTGGTAGCCTGCTCAGTGCCCTACTGCCTGTCCTGCTTTCACTGTGCAGTGGCAAGACTGAGCAGTGTGGCAGGCACCCACTTTGGGGGGTTATGACACCATGTTTTACCGCACCAGGTGACACCAACCGTAGTGAAGCCACTGAATAGAAGTCTATGGCTAAGTGTAGAAAAGCCACAGGAAAGCTGCAGGTAGACACCACTGCACCTGTGGTGAGGGTAAACTGCAGCTTATCCGTATGAAAGCAGGCCTATACTATTATGCCCAGTGTATTGCTTCATACTGCCTTGAAGATCTCTTCTTTCCTGCTGCTGGCACCACTCTGAAGACCTCTAGCTGGGATAAGAGATGGGGTGCAGTTTATATACGCATGGGGCAGGAGCCAGCACTAGAGGAGGCATTGGTTTACGAGGCTCTTTGCTTCCTGCTACCGTTCCAACTGTACAAACAGTCCCTCTGCACTTCTCTCTGCCAGTCACCTGGTTGCGATCTACTGGTTGCTAACCCCCGCTGTCCAGAATCCTGAAGGACCCAGTAAGAAGGTTGCAGGTAATGTAACAGATCCTCCGGTTTCACTACATGAGGAGCCACTGATATGGCACATGCATGCAGCCAATAACATCACAACTTTGTTTGCATACTTGTTCCAGGTCAGTGACTGAAGAATTGTAAGATTAGCATGATACCCAGGCAACAAGCATTTTTCAGGAGAATGCCAGGCTTCCTGTTGGTCTCAGCACAGTTTTGACTTTTTGTTGTGATATTTTAACGTATGTGCATAATACAAGACCTTCTTTCTGCTTTTGTGTTTTTCAGTTTTTGGACCCTGAATACGGAGAGTGGTTTGGCTACCTGAGTCAGGATGGGAAGGTAGCACTCAGCATTAAAGGAGGCCCATTTAAAGGTTAGATTAACATTGTCACCGGCAATTTAGATTACCATTTCAATACATTTCTGCCAGCATCTCAAAATATCTGTAATATAAGCTATAAGGGGTCATACACATGGATGGTTGTAGGTATTTTATAGGCTATGTGGCTACTTGACATGAAATTCCACATTTGGGAAATACATTTTATGTACAGATGCCAATGCAAAAAGAGTATGGCTTCCCATACATGTGAATGGATGTAAGCGGCACATCTGGCACCCTGGGCATGGGAAAATGCTTGGACGTTTACCCCTGGCATATTAACTTAAGAGTCTCCATACATAGACCAGTCCACACACGTGATGCATTTGATTTGAAGAAATTAAAGTGTAATGTTTCTAGAGTACAGACTGAGCCATGAAAACAATGCCAACTCACACGTATATGCAAGTAATGACATTTTATTAGTGTATCTAACCCTGAGAATAAAAATGTATTATACAGTATTTTGCAGCCTCTCCAGTCATTAGATGCAGTGGCTGAATTCATTTTAGTTTTTCAAGCCAAGTACAGTTTTTTCTTGTAAAGAAGAATACATGTTAGTCCTGTCCAGGGCTGCTTAGGCAGTACAGCCAGCCCACCTGTATGGGGCCCTGGCACCTTCTGAGCAGGAGGGCAACCTGTACTGCAAAAAAGCTGAAACTGATCCCCCTGTGGCTCCCTCTGCAGCTCAGCTGGCTTGTCCTCCTCTCCTTCCTCCTTTTTACCTTCCTTTGATTTAGTTTGTGATTGAGCCTCTGAACAGAGTACTTCCTGTTCATTAATTTGCAGTGAAGCTGAGGCTGCAGAGAACGGGGTTGAGGAAGCTATGTCCTCAGTCGCTTTCTCTGTTTCAGTCCTCATGCACACTGGACATTATTACAGCTGCTGTTTTTGGCTTTTGATATTTTTTTCTATAGCTAGTAAACCCCCCCAGCATGTTATCCTATGTGTCCGCGTACACATAGACTGTAATCAGCGTTTTTTGGCTGGAAAAAAAACCCCAGGACTAGTGGGTTTCTAGAGGAGTTTTTTTTTTTAGCTGTAAAAATGCTCTAGCGCTGAAAAATGCGACAAACCGTGGAAAATCTCCATGCACACTGCGCATAGTGTGAGATATTATTGCTCTGTTTTGACCTCTAATATTTCACCAAAGCCTCACCCCCCAACAGGGCTGTTTGAAACAAAAAAAGAAGGGAAAAAAAAGAACTGAGATCACAGGGCCCCTTACAGCCTACCTGACAAACAGCAACCTTAGTTTTTGTTGGGAATCCAGTGTCCTTGTTAATGCCTGTAAACTGAATTGAAATCTCAGACAATATCAGCTTTCCTAGCCATCTTCTTTTCTTTAAACTAAAAAACACCCCACCCAAAAAAGAATATGAAGAGAACTTAAATTTGTTTGTAGTCCAAATCAGGAGAGAAGCCTAGGGTGACAATGTTGTTTTATAGATACAGTACAGGGAGTGTTGTCATCCTAGAACAGGAGGTGGGAGGTGTGTTATTGGCAGGATCACAAGGTGAAAATAAAGGGAATAAAGTATGAAAAAAAGAAAAGTAATGCAGACACCACATTTAAGGACTGATAAGATGCCATATATTGCATTTTGTTTTCTCCTAGGGCTATATTATAAAAACTCACTCATAAAACAATATAACATGCCCTAAAACAGAACAATCAGTAATAGAATTTAGTTTGAAAACTTTCAATTTTGAAACATTCTTTGAATTTTTTAAATAATGATTGTTCTCGACCATGGTGATGAAAAGATTCCAAACAGCAGGATCATTTCTTGAAGAAATTGTAACTGTCAATGTGGGTGTTATCCCGGAAAAATCTTACATATTGTTATAAAACCTGATTTATACACCTGGGATTCCATTAAAGTAGCAGGTCTGGATGAAATTTTAAGGGATTTGGAAGCAAATTAGTGGACTCAATGATGGTGAGATCAAAGGCTCTGAAAAACAATTTTCGGATATTCAAATTAAATTCTACTGGGATATGGCCATCTTAAGCAAAAGGGAACTATTAAAACAAGATACTCCACTGAAAACAACCCTGCCTAATTCCGTATATAAAAATGTAAGACTAAACATGTCTGTGTATAATGATCTAGATCTGTGTTTCTCAACTGGGGTGCCATCTTGCTTTCCTTGTGGTGTCTCAAGCATGAGACTTGGTTTGCCTTGGATCAGCTTCATGAGTTGCCCTGGTGGGACAGGCTGGCTGCCAGCACCATAACAACCAATGACGGTCTAGTGCCAGGACATTCATGGTTCTGCTGGTTCACCCACACCATGGCAACACATGACTCTGATCCAGGGCAGGCAGCAGGCAGAGCCCACCCCATCATTTAGGAGAAGATGTAAGTCTGCCTACACCAGACCTCCTCAATCTCCCACCCTCTGTCAAGCTCCTGAAGCCAAAAGGATGTGCAGAGGGTACTGTGTGATTGGGGGGGGGGGGGACTCTGATGTGATGGGGCAACCCTGTCATGTATAAGGGTGATTCTGATGTGATGGGGGCTCTCATGTATAGGGATGACTTGGATGAGATGGGAGGCCTCTGACATGATCTGATATGATGGGGGAACTTCTGATGTGAAGTTAATTTCATCAAGTTCTGTGCCATCTCCTGAGTCAGGCTTCCCATTGATAAGTAACGTTTAAAATTTAGCTTGGGGTGCCTTGAGATTTTGTGCTAAAAAGGCTGAGAAATGCTGATTTAGATCACTGTGTTGGAAAACCCAGATCTCAAGAAGTATAATCTCATGCTCCATACATATTATGAAAGGTCTGATTTTACTCCTCATCTTCTCCTTCATCATGGGACTGATGTGGTTTATATTTTTGTTCTAGAGCCTGCAAAACATTTGACATAGCCTGCGTCTTTATCTCTTTGTGTTAACTTAAAGATTTTATTTCATTTTAGGCTGTTTTCACATTCCACGATGCCTGTATATGTGTGAGGTGATTTTGTCCAGGCTTCTGGAAGAAGACAACCAAGCCACAAATGAGTTATAATGGACAATGCAAGACTGGTCAAACATTCCTAGCTGGAAAATTACTTCTAATTATTTTAATGTGTCATGGTAGTTCATACAGTAACTGGCTTATACAGTACACACCACAATTTATCTAAAGGTGGGGCATCTTGAGGGTCATGTTAATTTTTTCCAGTGGTGAGCTTTGATAAGTTAGTTTGGGATTTAGATAAAGATTTATGCACAGTGCTTTGGCTTTTTGGGTACATGCATTTGACTAACAACAATCTCTTTTAATCATTTACAGTCGTCTCTAACTGTGATGTATATGTATCAATGTAGATTGTCACATATCTCAAGGTGGAACTTATTTGGTTGAATAATCTAATTTCTAGCATTCTAGTGGAAATGGTATGTGTCATTACCAACTGCAGAGCATTGACTAACAGACATCTCTGACCATCTAGCTTTTGAGTAGATTTGTTTTATTAAATACTGTATAATTATTCATTACTTAGTAATTTTATGAATGGTTCAAATGTTTTTCAGATGATAGCCTAATTTGGATGGTTCAGACCTGAGTGTGTAGGACAGGAAAGCCATTTGTAATTTTTAACAATAAAGCAGAATTATGGCATCCCATTACAAAAATAATTAGTTGCACCGATCCAAACTGTATTTTAGGCCATGGCAGCCAACTTTTTTTTAAAGGACAGCAAAGTTCAGAGGTGCACCAGTTGCCCTCGCAGGGGTTTGTTCCACACAAATATACACAAACAAAATACAGAGCCACCTGGCTCACTGTTGGCAGCACTGCTGCTTCTCTCATTTTGATTGTGTTGTCCAGCTCTCCTGGAACACTTGGCTCTTTAGCCTGACCCCTTGGTGAGGCCCTCTGTCTCTTGGCTTCTTAGTGGGGCCCCCAGACCCCTCACTGAGGCCCTCTGTCTCTTGGCTTCTGGCTGGGCTCCCCAGACCCCTCAGTGAGACCCTCTGTCTCTTGGCTTCTGGCTGGGGCCCCCAGACCCTGGGTGGGTCTCCAAACTGGCCACAGCCCTGAGCTTTCCTCAGACCTGTCTATATAACTACCGCAGCACACCTGTGCACTCATATGGGTTGCAGGCATCTGGCAAAACTGGACACGGGATTGAAAGTTTGATCCAGAATCACAGAATCCAGAGAGCCAAAAACAATGCTTTCTCTGCTCAGAAACAACAATCTCTGTTGCTGAAACCCTTTTGTTGTGAGCTGCAGTGTCTGGGAAGGAAAGTATGCAAGACACAAAAGAAGGAGGATTTGGCTTATGCAGGAAGAGTAAAGGAAGTTGTTTACTTACGAGATATTAAATGTATTTGGTACTTGTTAAGACTATAGATGTACTTTACCATATAAATATTTTTTAAGGATCACATGTTGCTGCATGTTAAAATCACTAAGTTTTTTTTTTTTTATTATTATTTTATCATTTTGTAATGAAAATGAGACCAATAAAGCAGCAGTGTTCCCAAGTAAGTCCCTGTGCCAAGGTAACTATAAATGCCCAACAACTGACCCTGTGGGTCCTGCTCTGACCGAGGTCTGAATAGGGACGTATATCCACTCAGGGCTACCAGCCCAACATATCTTAGTAGTCCTGGCCCAGGAGAGCCCCCTGTCTAGTCTTCCACTGCTTGAACCATCTACAGAGCAGCTTCAATATCAATTGGAGACCAATGGTTTGCATTGATATCTGACTAGTCTGCTTTTTTGTTACATGGAAGTGGTCCATAATACAGTGGTCTATAGTATAGTACAGTAGAGTATGACAGGCAAGCAGTCCATGACCAATGTCTTGTAAAATATTAGCTGTCTATGACAGTCTTTACATGTGAGCAATCCTTGTTACTCTCTTGCAAAATATGAACTATAAAAGTGGATGGCAGGTAAGGTCAGCTATCCTACAATGAATTATAATTTTTTTCCCCCTGTTTTAGGTGTGAATAACATGTTTCCATTAAACCCTACCTATTTAACCATGTCTGCTTGCTAGTGCTGAGAGTGCACTTTTATTTGTTCTGGTAGGCTCCAGGTTCTCTAGTCCAACACCACCATCTTCTGCTTATCAATGTAATTGTGCAAAACTTTGGGACAGGGGATTATTAAGAACTCATCTGGAATGTGCAGTCCAGTTTTGGGCATCCGATCCCAAAAAATGATATCGGAGAATTGAAGGAAATGCAGAGAAGGAAAACCAAAGTGAGAGGCAAGGAGGAGCTCGGCTATGAGGAAAGATTAGAGGAACAGAATTTATTCTCTCTTGGGAAGAGGCAATTAAGGCAGAATAAAATCACCATGTATAAATACATAAGTGGTCCATAGAATGAACTTGGTGTAGAGTTGTTCATGTTTAGGTCATTACAGAGGACAAGGGGCCACTCTTTATGTCTGGAGAAAAAGAGATTTAATTTGCAAATACAAAAAAGCTTCTTCACAGTAAGAGTTGTGAAAATGTGGAATAGACTCCTTCAAGAACTAGTCCTGGGCAGCTCAGTAGATTGTTTAAAAAAAAAGAGTTGGATTTATTCCTAAAAGCACAAAATATAACTGGATTCTAACATTTTATAGGTAATGCCAGGAGTAGTTGATCCAGGGACTAATCCAATTGCCTTCTGAGAGATCATAAAAGAAATGTTATTTTCCTCCCATTGATGCAAATTGGATCAAATGATCTTTATAGGGTGTTTTGCCCTCTTCTGGGTCAACTGTGTATATTTTTTTTAACATTTTGGCAGTGGCTGTTGTGGTACCTGATGACACTGATGCTGGGTACATAGTTAGAAATAAAGCTTATGGTGATGCAAACCATTCATTTTTTATTAGCTGTGGGATGAAGGTGTAGCCCTGTTTTGGGGGGGGGGGGGTTATGTGAAATGGCCCACACCAAACAAGCTATGGCGCTAACCTGTATATGAGTAGGCAATCCTGAGCCTTCGCTATATGGAAGAGGGGGTTGTGATAATACAAATGGCAGTGCCTCCACCTAGAATAGGGATCCTGCAATTGAGGAGACTCACCCCTTTCTAGGAATGTAACAGGTAGACAACTTAAAGTAACTATACATAGCAGTATTATTGCACCCAGCTTATATTTCTAACATGAAAACATGTCACCACACCTGTATGAGATTAATGCAAAGTTTATATAAAGCAGCCACATAAAACAGGATGCATAAGAATAACATTCAGGAATTACAATTTACCATAAATTGGGAAGTTGCAATTATACCCGGGTATATGTGCATGTGGTATACAGAATACCTCCAACCATGGGTTATAGCGCAGTCCGGTTGCAGGGGCCCCTGGAGAGGTGAGAGTCAATAAGATGCACACTTCCACTTCAGATGCTGCGATGGCGTCCAAGTAACACGTTCTATGCGGATGATTGCACTGCTTGTCTGACGATCAGCGATGCATCACCTAAAAGGATAAAATGCCTTATCTCTCCTTACTCTTCGTCCCTATCCCTAAACTGGGCTGTCACCGCAACCGGGCCCCTATCTGTCTAAGTGGCCTAACCTAACCTACCTCTAGCCTAATCTATCCAACGCTCCCTATGCTAATCCTAGCTAAAGGGAGATCCAGACCAATAAGGGTGCTATGGCTTTAAGCAAAGAGGCTGCAAAGATACACTGCAATTAACAGAAAGTTCACCTGACAGTCTTATGCAGGTGAAAACACTGATCTCTCTCTCTCTCTCTCTCTATCTCTCTCTACTCTCTATATATCTATATCTCTATATATATATATATATATATATATATATATATATATAGACAACTATAAGGATTCTGCAGTGTGTATATAGAATAATGATAATGAACCACAAATCTCTCTCTTACAGAGATATTAGGGTTCCTATACAGAAGTTGAAATATAACAGGCAGACCTAATCTGCTTCAGTAACAACTAGATAGATAGCAGCCTTGTTAATCTGTATCAATACTCACAGAATCACCATACAGTTCTCCCCAGATACACAGCACATGGCAGGCTGGCACCCTCTGCCTGATACTTCCTGGAAAAACAAACTATATAACATCCTGGGGTTTCTTGACCTCCTTGTAGGGGCAGGAAGCACACCTAGGGACTTGTCTGTAATGGGACCTCTATGGTAGTGGCTGTATATGAATGTAAACAAACCACAACTAGTGTATAAAATGACAGTTCCCTACAAAGGTATACAGTCTATGCCAGTACAACGTTGTACATACTGTAGAAAGCAATGAGATAAGTAAAAGTCAAGGACCAACACAGTATGAAATAAAATTGCAGTACTCTATTCATTATCAATTGAGTCATAAAAATAATCCATCCAGTGTAAAGATCGACCTGTTTCAGCCTCACAGACCTTGGGCCTCAGTAATAATCCATACATAGGTTAAACAAAAGCACATGTCCATCTAAATCGTGGTTGGCAATCAGGACATCAGTTTCATGTAACAATATCCTACCACTGACGCTGTACTAGTGTGACGGATGATCTGGTTAGTGGTGCTGACTTGCTTGGCTCTAGTGATACTGGCACTGATGCGGTTAGCAATCAGAACACTATTGTTGACTTACACCAGCTCTGGTGACAGCATACTGGTGTGGCTGTAATCAGGGACACTGTGGCTAGCTTACATTGGTCTGGTGACAATGGGACAAGTGTGGAGGTGATCGGCAACACAGTTGCTTGCTGCACTGGTCTGTTGACACTGGGACTGGTGTGGCATATGATCTGGAACACTTTGGCTGGCTTTTACTGGTCTGGTGACACTGAGACTGATGTGGCAGCGATCAGGAACACTCTTGCTCGCTGCACTGGTGTGGCAACATTGGCACTGGTGTGGCAGAGACCAGGAACACTTGCTGGTGGCACTAGTCTAGTATGGCTGTGATCAGGAATGTTTGCTGGCTGCACTCATCTGACGACATTGGCACTAGTGTAGCAGGAATCAGGAATCGCTGACACTGTGCCTGATGTGGCTAATGTTTAGAGTTGCTCTGGCTATGGTGACAT